CACCAACACTCGTAATCATTCCAGGTAAATTTCAAAGGAACACGACCTCGACTCTCTCCTTTATGACTGAATGTCAGGCAGAAAATTTAATCTGCAGTGTGGCTCTGAGACTGAGGATTAGTATTTTTCACGCTCTGAGTGAGAAACCTTTAAAAAGTAAGAGGGGGATTTGGCTGTAACCCCATTAGAGCGTTTATTTGGCGAGAGGAAACAGAAAAAAAAGTAATGGAGTGGTCCAATTAATGCAGCAACGAGGAGCCGAAGGAAGTCAAGTGTTTCTGCAGCCTTCGGTGCTTTATGTGCGTCTATATGTCATCAACCATCAAACACAAACAATAATTGCAGCCGGCGAACAGCAAATCGTTCGACTTCAAAAGAAAAATAAAATGATTTATTTTTTTTCCATTTGCAAACAAAAGTGACGCTGTGGAAAATTTCTTTTTACTCAAGGTGTCAGGCAGCGACTGAACTCAAACACAGGCAGCAGAAAAACACAAAAACAGCATTTAAATACCAGGAGATGCAGACTTTTCAAAGGAACGTTGTTCAGCAACTTTTATTTATTCTCCTCTTTTAAAGTTATATTTATTTGATTTAAAAATCACAGAACGTTTTCGGACGGATTGCAAAAAAATGTCTGATGAAATGTGTTTGTTCTGAAGGGTTAAACCAACAATTTCAAACRATTTAGAATACACTGTTAGCTACACGACACATTCTCCTTCTTAAGASTGAACGTTCCTTCGGGTTCACCCCAAAGGCAGACTGTGTCAGGTCACAGAAACAAAAGAATATATGAAATTAAAAAATGGCTCCATCCATCCATCCATGCAGCTTGATCATGGAGGCTCAGACCTCTCKTTCCACAGCCACCTCTTCTGGGAGGACTCCTAGGTGGTCCCAGACCACCTGAGAGACTCTCCAGTRTGAMCTGGGTCTTAAGAAGCRGAAAACTAGCTAAAAGAAAAAGTAGCAAAATGTTGTCCAACGGTTAACAAACAAGTCTTGTTTTGTTTGATTACTTTTTTGTTTTACTTGCATTCAAATACTTCATTTGAATATTTATTTATTTGGACTATTCCTCTAGTTATTCATTTAATAGTTTATGTATTGTATGTGTAAGCATTTATGCATTCATCTAGTGTGTATCTTTATATATACACAGTATAAATAAATATACAGCGGGTAAAATAAGTATTGAACACGTCACCATTTTTCTCAGTAAATATATTACTAGAGGTGCTAATGACATGAAATTGTATGTGTAAGCATTTATGCATTCATCTAGTGTGTATCTTTATATATACACAGTATAAATAGTTTCAAATTTAAAACAAACAAACAAAAAATACATATACTGKATGCTTTTGTTTCAATATAAATTTTTTAAACAATGAACTGACAATCTTTTTACACTAATTTGTACAGAAAAGGAGTAGGGC